TGTTGAGCATCTCTTCATGTGTTGGTTGGCCATCTGGATGTCTTCTTTGGAGAAGTGTCTATTCATGTCTTGCCCATTTCTTCACTGCACTATTTGTTTTTTAGGTGTTGAGTTTGGTAATTTCTTTATGGGTTTTGGATACTAACCCTTTATCCAATATGTCATTTGTAAGGATCTTCTCCCATTCCGTTGGTTGCCTTTTGCTGATTGTTTCCTTCTCTGTGCAGAAGCTTTGTATCTTGATGAGGTCCCAATAGTTCATTTTTGCTTTGGTTTCCCTTGCCTCTGGAGATGTGTCAAGTAAGAAGTTGCTGTGGCCAATGTCAAAAGGTTGCTGCCTGTTTTCTCCTATAGGATTTTGATGGTGTCCTATCTCATATTTAGGTCTTTTGTCCATTCTGAGTTTATTCTTGTATATGGTGTAAGAGAGTGGTCCAGTTTCATTCTTCTGTGTGTTGCTGTCCAGTTCTCCCAGCACCATTTGCAGAAGAGACTGTCTTTCTTCCATCAGATACTCTTCCCTGCTTTGTCGAAGATCAGTTGGCCATACATTTGTGGGTCCATTTCCGGGCTCTCTATTCTATTTAATAATAGCATGCATGTTAAGAGTCATATCATAGGGTTTGTAAAACAGCTAAAACACTTGAATCAGTTTCTCTTTATTATAATCTCAATGAAATGTTGAAAAATAATTTAATTTTTAGAATTCCATAGTAATTCAACAAAGGTGCTTGATTTCAGTAGTCAGATCAACCAGATAGCCCTTAGGAAGCTTAATTTGCCAGAGTACAGGGGAGGTGAGTTTTGATCAGGAAGCAGTGATATAGGCAGCGTTAAATGTGGAGCCCCAGTGTCCGGCTTGAGAGTCTGGATTTTAGCCTGTAGCAGTGGGGGGCCACGGTAGGCAGTACTGGAGCGGATAAGTAACTTGATAAAATCTATTTTCAGATGATTAATCGGATGGTAGGTGTTTATGGTAAATTAGAGAGAGAGGAGACACCAGTTTGTAAGCTGCTGTGACCATCCAGGGAGACAGAGGTGTTGCTAGTAGGTATTTGGAAAGGGAAGAAAGGGAATATATTTCTAAGAAAGAGCCAATGAAATAATTCGACTTTGGTTATAAAAAGACATAAGATGACTTAAGATTTGATGCTTCACACCTGAGAAAATGATCAGTCATACTTTTTCATGGGGAAATGAGGAAAGCATACTTCCTTCAGGGCATGTTAATATTTAAGTGACTTGGTGATCTTCCGGAGACACGGGGCTCAACGGGAGATTTTCAGAAAGGATATTTTAGGCAGGGGGATTTCCTGGCACCCCCTAAATTCAAGCCATCTGTGGCCATTCACTTCCTTCTGTGTGTAAGTTGATACTTGGTTTCCTTCTTCCCTCAAAATCCCCTTCAAATTTCCACCACCAGTGTTCATTGGGTCTTGCTTTCTTTTTTTAAAGCTACATTAAAGATGTTGATGTCCAAATAAGTAAAATTGACTGCTCTCTCCTTAAATAATCTAAAACGACATGACTTTTGGTTCAAGTTAATAGAAATATACAAATGTGATCACATGCGAGCTGAATCCATTAATTAGAAATTGATGAGGCTCTCTGAGGGGTGAAGGAAGTGCATTTCCTGCCAGTTTAAAACTGCTTCAGGTACGGATGTAACTAGCATTTGTTAGAGTTAGCCGTGGGAAGTCCCATGGGTGGTGCAGGGCTATGAAAGTTCTAGACAGAGATCTGAGTCATAGGAGCTCCGACCCCGATGCCACAGGAGGGTTCGCATACTTTTCGCTGAGCAGGACAGGCTCTTGAGGTTTGCTGGCTGGCCACGGTGGTGTAATGAGGCCGCCAGAAAGCTTCTCTCCGGTGAAGTGAGCTCTAACACCACGGAAGATGATGCGAGCTCTTCCTTTCAAATTACTGTTATATCCCGCTAGACCTTTACAGTCTTTAAAGCGTTATATTCTGTTGTACAGATACAAATGAGACTGGTTTAGCAACGGGTTCCCCCACCTGTAGAACAAGAAGCCTGGGCTAAGTGAGGTCTTAAACACTCTTGGCCGTGGTGACGCCTCTCGCGGGGGTCCAGATGCACAGATCCCAACTCCGGGTGGTATCGCAACGCTGGCGGAGAGCCTGGCCTCCTTGTCCTGTGCTCCGGTGCACCTGGCATCTCCGTGCCCGCACTGCATGGCCGTCCGTGTGGCAGGTGCTGCCTGTACCATCTCATTTCATCCTCATCAGAGTCCTAAAGGGGATATCTATTTGTTAATTTATTGCACAGGAGAGGAAACCTAGGCATGGGGCGGGGGCAGGGAGGGGGGTAGTGATAAGGTAACTTGCCCAGGGGTTAAATGGCGTGAACCCAGGCACTCTGGCTCTTAAATCCATGCTCTTAGCTACCACACTGGTCCTTTTCTAGAGGGGAGCTGATGGAAGGATTTTACATTTGATAAAGTGGAGAGAATAATTTGAAACTGCCTCCCTGAAAGCGTCTCCCTCTTCCCTCCCTCCTTCCATCCCGCCATCCCCCATCCCTCCACCCCCCTACCCCCATCCCTCTATCCCCCCTTTCCTCTACCCCTCCCTCCCTCCATCCCTCCAGTATCTGTTCTTACAGAGGGGCCACCTGCGCTTGCTGTGCCTCATCAGATGCTGTGGTTGAGAGGCGAGTGGTGTCTAGCCTGTTCCTCCCAAAGATGCACAGTGTTTTGGGGAAGGGAGCGCCCATGAGGCCCTTCTTTTCAGTTTAGAAAGCGTCAGATGTCATACGAGACCTTGGCCACACTGGGCCCTGGGTCAGAACCTGAAACAGAACGCACGCCGCGCCCGCCTCCGCGCCCCCTGCGGTGAGGGGGCCCGGCAATCTGCAGTTTCAACAGGTACTCCTGGCGTCTCGGGCACATTAAGATTTGAGAAAGGCGTCTACGGAGCATTTCCAAGGAACTAGAAAACTCGGTTTCATGCCGCTGAGAAGTGTCCAGGCCGGTCGCAGAGGCCGGCGCGCGAGCACGCAGAATCTGGAAGCATCACCCTGAGTCTCCGCTGTGTCACACGGCTGCCTGGAGCTGCTTCAGGACCCGGCTCCGTGCGCGGGGGGCGGGACGGTCCCGAGGAGGCTGACGAGGAAGGATCTGGGCTTTCCAGTGTTGGGTCAAGAGAACAATCCCTTATCCTTCTGAAGGATATGGGTCTGTTGCTTGCAATTTAATTTGGGGAAGGCTTTCCACTGCCTACTTCCGGGCCCCATCTAACAAGCTGTGTGAGCCGATCCAACCTAACAACTGGGGGGAAGTCATGTATGACTCAGGTCTCTACCTGGGTGTGTTACTTAACTGATTGAGAAAGAAGTGTTGAGAAGATGGGAGGGGAGGGGAAGAGGAGTTGAACACTTTCAGGTTTTAGATTATTTTAGATAAATGATTAGAATGTAAGCATTCTTTTGCCTTAGTATCGTTTTTATTTATTTTTATTTTTTAATGTTTTATTTATTTCTGAGAGAGAGAGACAGCATGAGCAGGGGAGGGTCAGAGAGAGAGGGAGACACAGAATCCGAAGCAGGCTCCAGGCTCTGAGCTAGCCATCAGCACAGAGCCCGACGCAGGGCTCAAACCCACGAACCGTGAGATCATGACCTGGGCCGAAGTCAGACGCTTAACTGACTGAGCCACTCAGGTGCCCTGAAAATATTGTTTTTAAATGGCACCATGGTATTCCATCATCTCGATGAACGTTAATTTGCTTTAATTTGCTTTTTAATAGATACATCATGTTTTGAAATGTATTATCCAAATGCTACCATGACCATTTTCTGGGTAGTCTATATACTTGTGTGTGTTTTCTCCAGCTTCTTAGGGTTAGTTGTTGCAAAGTAGAGATGCAAGAAGGTATATGAATTAACAAAGAAATGAATGTCTAATGGAATAAACTAGCATTGTGGCTCTTAAGCCATCTTTTTAAAAAATTTTTTTAATGTTTATTTATATGAGAGACAGAGCACGAATGGGGGAGGGGCAGAGAGAGATGGAGACAAGAATCTGAAGCAGGCTGCAGGCTCTGAGCTGTCAGCACAGAGCCCTATGTGGGGCTTGAACCCACGAGCTGCAAGATCATGACCTGAGCTGAAGTCGGACGCTTCGCTGACTGAGCCGCCCAGGTGCCTTGCTCCTATAGCCAGAAGGGGCCACTTGCTGGAGGAAGGCCTCTAGACCAGCAGGTCCGTGACAGGTGACATCCCTACTCTGCTTATCAGCAGGGCCCGCCCACACTATCACTCCACCATGTGTTTTGCAAACACTCTTCAGTCCGATGTCTTTTGGAATTAAACATTTTTAGGTTTTAGAAAGGTAGTATTAACTCTTTCCTCTAGGCATGTTACAAAGCACCTACTTAGTTCGGGGGACCGCCCCATACTCAGGCACATGAATATTCTTAGAACAACAAGATAATGAATATTTGAAGTGAGTGAGAAAAATAAAAACGAATCCTTTCCATTCAGATCAGGGTTTGCAGCTCTGAGACTCTGCTACTATCTTGTGTAAAATCTAGCTTTCTGAATTAAGGATAAGGGATGTGGTGCTTGTATATAGTGTACATGTGAGCAGATAGGCCTGACCCTGACGAAGAGAGAATCCGCTCCCCTGGGTGCTCAAGGAAGGCGGTCCACTTGCCTTTTCAAGCTTCTAAGGAAGTCAGGGGCTCCTCAAACATTTGGAGAAGATGAGTCGGAATGTTACAGAGACAGGGGCGCCTGGGTGGCTCAGTCGGTTGGGCGTCCGACTTCGGCTCAGGTCATGATCTCATGGTTCGTGGGTTTGGGCCCCGCGTCGGGCTCCGTGCTGACAGCCAGCTCAGAGCCTGGGGCCTGTTTCGGATTCTGTGTCTCCCTCTCTCTGACCCTTGCCTGCTCTTGCTGTCTCTCTCTCAGACATAAATAAAACACTAAAAATTTTTTTTAAAAAAAATGTTAACAGAGACATTACATTTCTCTCTTCCAGAGCCTCTTCCGTCTCCAACACTAAATTGCTCAGCCACTGCTGAAAAAGACATTATGGTCAGCTGCATGGTCCCCGAGTCCTATAATAGCAGATACAGGAAACTTATAAATTACTCATGGAACTGCTTCTCGGCACAGTGTCAGAATAGGTCCAATTCATCGGAAGTTTTTATTGGGCGGGAAGCTGATCTGTCACAGGAAATACAATGTATCATCAGTGACCCACTGTCCAGACAGACCTCATCACTGCGTTTGGCAACCTGTGTCCCAGGTGAGTACGTAGCCCAGGGCGTTGCGGCCAAGGTACCGTGTACAAGTGGGTTCCAGGGGCCACTGGTGGCTTGTGAGTTTCAAACCACAGAGGTGGTGGCGGACATACGTTCCACACATTTGATAGGTACGAGACGTTTCCACAGACACTCCATTATAACCTAGAGCTGACGTAGTTTAGCCCTTTCTGTGTCAAGCAGCATTCTAATACATTTGTTAACTAATTCAGTCCTCACACAAATGGATGTGTTGGGTGCCAGTAATGCTTTCTTTAGGTTTCATGGGGAGAAACCAAGACGAAGGGAGTTTAGTTTGATGGCCGAAGATCAACAGCTAGAAAAGGACAGAGCCTGGCTTGCGATCAGGCCATGTGGCCATCAGCCCTTGTTCTTAACTGTTCACAGCACCGCTTTATAATTTCTTAATAACCACTGGGTTCTTAGAGGTTGCACGCCTGCTGCAAAGAGTGTGCATTTGATACATCTGTCGAGGCTAACCCTCCATGGCAGTGTCTCTTGCCTGTACTCCTTTTATTTTGCTTAACGTGTACACTTGTAACATGCAGTTTTTATTATCCGCCCTCTACAATATGCCCCTGGTTCACAGACAAAAGGATCAGTGATTTGAAAGTGGTTCATTAAAACATAAAAGAAGAGAGGAAAAGAGCAACCGCTAGAATTCAGAATAATACTCCTAATTGTAAATGGGATTCTGGGGCAAATACAAAATATAAGCTGCCTTGGGCCAGGATGGGGTGATTCTGTGACTCCCTTTTTTTTTTTTTTTGGAAGAAGCAACTGAAACAGAACAAGGCAATTCATAAATCTAATGATTATACAGAACATGAATTATATCTGATTCTTGAGCCATTCTCCCCAAGTCTCCCATGTATTGTCCTTTCTGAAATTTGGCAAATAACGATGCGGCGGCATTAAGGTAATGCTATCACTTTCGGACAAAGCAGCACGACTTCTCAGGTAAAACAAACGCGTACTTCCAGACAGAATGCACAGTGAGTCCCAGTTCGTAACTGATGGTCGTGGTCCTTAAAGACCGAGAAAAGACCAGACCCATAGAGGGGCCACGCAGAGCGGCACCCTGTGCACAAGTCACACGACCGTGCAGATTTGCAGGCCAGCTGCAAAGTCAATGACATTGTCATGCTTGGCACCGGCGTTGCTGTTACGTCCACCTGGTGGGTGTCGCGTGCTCTCCTGGGTGACAGTGTGGAAACTCAGCCTGTGTGCTAGCACGTAGTTGTGGGAACAAAACACAAAGCCGGTGTGCTTTTTCAGCTTTGGTGTGTGTTTAAGGCACATCACCCACAGGAGAAAAAAAGGATTTTATGCAGAACGAACCAGCAAGTTGAAATCTTGCAAAGCTTCGCATGTCCCAAGCATCAAATACTTTGGTGGAAATGATTTCTGAATAAGAGCCTCTATAGAATTGTATGGAATACTTTAAGGAAATTTCCAGCATTTTGCCCTTGCATTAGGTTTTCATTTAACCTTTCCCATTAGAACTGAATGCCCTGAGCTGCCCTTCCCTGTAGATCCCTTCAGAAAAGATTGTCATGAATTCATCCCTCTCATCGATGGGATATAATATTGCTGATTTGCAGACAAAGCCTTTTTGTTATTAAATAATGATGATTTCATCCTTCTTTTACATTTCCACCCCAAACTGATAGTTCACACCGCATTATGGAATTTGAAAGTGTGAGAAATACTGCCTGATAGTTCCTAGGTCATCTAAATCCTGGAGTAGCGCTGATGTCTGGAGCCCACAAAACAAATGATGAAGGACCTTTTTCTTTCCCCCTACATCTGGGGCCCGAACATTATGATCTAAATGGTTCTTTACAACAATAAATCTCTCTCTCTCTCTCTCTCTCTGTCACCATGGATGATTTTTGAATACTTTTCTGCAGGGTTGCATGCATGATAACAGATAGAAATTCACATGGATGTAACGGTTAAATACCGAGTCTTTCTTTTCTTACGTGCTGATGTTTTAAATCTAGACGTTCACACTTGATGGTTGAAACATAGTAACTCACACTCACCAGCCTGCTGCCCCACCCTTCGCAGGCCCCCACCCCACCCCCCCGCCCATGACCGTCTTGTTTGTTGCCCCCCCCCACGTCTAGGCTGGCTGGACCAGAGTTGTTATTTGCCTTTTGAGAGTGAAGAGACAGGTTCAGCCGGTGGGGTGACTTCCCCAATTTCACTTATGTAATGCAGATAGAATTAAGATTTAGGTCTTTGAATTCTGGAGGTTGTTTGTTTCTCTTTTTCCCATGACCTCATCCTGATTCTGTGTCTTAGAATAAGTCAAATTAAGAAAAATAATAATGGATTCCTTCACTGGGATTGGCTGGTAAAAACCATACCATGTAGAATGGTGGTACACACTATGGGGAGCCTATAGTGCCAGGGATGAGGTTTCTTCAATAAGTAAATTATAGGGGGACCTGGGTGGCTCAGTCGGTTAAGTGTCCAACTTCGGCTCAGGTCATGATTTCAAGGTTTGGGGATTCGAGCCCCGCATCGGACACTGTGCTGACAGCTCAGAGCCTGGAGCCTGCTTCATATTCAGTGTCTCCCTCTCTGCCCCTCCCCTGCTCGTGCTCTCTCTCTCTCTTTCAGAAATCAATAAACATTAAAAAAGAATGTTTAAAAAACAAGTAAATTATAAGGGGAAGAAAAACAGAGGTAATGGGGAGCTTAGAGATTAAAGACCTTTAAGAAGCCTATAATTCATTGCAATACATGGGCCTTGTTTGATCCTGATTCAGAGGAAAATGAAAAAAAACAGGAGAGATGTTAGCGGTGACTGCATATTTGATTATACTAAGCGCTAAATTATTTTTTTAATTTAAGCGCATGATAAAGGCATGGTTATGTTTTACACATAATCCTTATCTTTTGGAAATATGTACTGAAATGTTTATAGCTTAAAAATTGTGCCCCCTGGAGCCAAACAGGGATTCCTGTCTCTACCTGCATCGCAGTAAATGGGAAGGGAGAAGGGTAGAGGCCAGTCCTTCCTTTTATTTATTTATTTATTTTTAATATTCTTTTAGTTTTTGGGAGAGTGCCAACAGGGGAGGGGCAGAGAGAAGGGGACAGAGAATCTGAAGCGGGCTCTGCGCTAACTGGCTGATGGCAGTGAGCCCGACGCGGGGCTCGAATTCATGAGCCTCGAGATCATGACCTAAGCCGAAGTCAGACACTCAACCAATGGAGCCACCCAAGCGCCCCTCGGTCCTTCCCTTTAAAGCCCCACCCAATGTGGCATGCATGACTTCCAGGGCCACCCACTTGGCCAGATGGTGGTCACGGCCATGGCTGCTGGGGGAGGCTGGGAAATGTCCTCCTCAGCAGGCTGGCCATGCACCCATTTAAAACACAAGGGTCCTATTACCAAAGGAAAACAGGGAGGTTGGGTGCTGGGAGCCCATCGGTGTTTCTACCACAATGAATATAACCTTTATCATTTTAAAATGGAGACAAAATGAGAAAAATTGAAAGACTGATATAAATAGTAGATACAAGGAGACGTTCTCGCTTTTTTGAACCTCACCGGTCATCTCCTGTCCTCCACGGGGCCTCTGCTCCTAGTTTAGAAATTCTGGGTCTCAGCCAGAGGCCGTGGTGTCTTGAAGGACCGTGGTAGTGGCAGACTTTGGGAGAAGTGGTTCGGGTCAGGGCACATCGCCACAAGGAATTGCTAATGGTTCAAGTGGGGGAGAAGGGTTCCTGATAAGACGTGTGCAGATGACCCCACCGAGACTGGAGCGTGGAGTGGCGGTATAAGTAAGTTTGATTTGGGACATGTTGTTTCAGGTGCCTGTCGGATTCTGAATGGAGATGTCATAGAAGATGCTTTGATTTATGAGTCTAGGTTTCTGGCAAATAGTTAGCATTGGAGAAATAAGTTTGGGGAGAACCAGCCTGTAGTCGGAATTTAAAGCCGTAGGGCCAGATGAGATCACCTGCTGAGCAGATAGGACAGAGCACTGGACTGGGCATCTAGAGGGCTGTTGAGAGGAAGAGGGCCCAGCAAGGGAGACAAATATAGGCCACCAGGGAGGCAGGAAGAAGACTCCAGCATCGTGGCATCCCAGGAGCCATGTGAAGCAGGAGTTAGCACCTGTCCATGCAGCGACAGGTCATGAAGGACGAGCAGAATGGGAGAAAGGGTTTGGGAAGGGACTGGATCCAGTAGAATTAGATTCAGCGGTTCAAAAAAAATTCTTTTTTTTTTAATGTTTTATTTATTTCTGAGAGAGAGACACACAGCTTGAGCAGGGGAGGGACAGAGAGAGAGAGAGGGAGACATAGAATCAGAAGCAGGCTCCAGGCTCCAAGCTGTCAGCAGAGCCCAACACGGGGCTTGAACCCACAAACTGCGAGATCATGCCCTGAGCCGAAGTCAGACGCTTAACCGACTGAGCCACCCTGGTGCCCTGAAAAAATTCTTTTAAGGTATCAAGTGGCTTAAAAATATAGATGACTTCTATGGAAACCAACTTCACAATAAACTATTTAAAAATATATGTATATATAGATGACTTCTTTCACATTAAAAAAAAAAAAAAAATCCAAGGTAGACAGCCCTGGGCATATTGCTGCTTAATGAGGTCAGAGACCCAGGAACAGCCCAACTACCTTCCACCTCCCCCCCACCCCCACTGTTTCAGGCAGGAAGATCCAGAAAGGGGAGACTTTGGAAAAATACCACACAGCCCGTCTTACATCTCATTACCCAACACTTAGTCACGGCAGCAAACCTAGCTGCCAGAAAGGCTGAGAAATTAATCTTTTGGTTGAGTGTTAGTATGGCCAGCTGAAAATCTGAATTCTGTTCCTAGAGAGGGGAGAATGGATATGGGGGGGTGGGTAACTAGCAGTTTCTGGCCAGGGGCCTCTCAAGTCAAACCAATAAGTGACTTCCTGTTAGTTCTAACCCATCTCTGTTCCTACTACAAAGAAAGGGTGTGGGCTCTACACATTCTCCGTCTTCCTTTATCCACTCGCTTTCTTTCTTGGCTCCCTTCTCCCTTCCCATTTGTGGGTGCCGTTAGGGACCCCAGCCTGCCCTTACCAGTGCACTGTCATCATTTTGCTATAGCCTTAAGTACTCTGCCTTTGGGTTTTTAGTAGCTGGGTAGGGTCCACCCTGTGAACGCCATCCTTTTCAATTGAGGACACTTAGGTCATTTTCGCTTTTTGATATCGTAAGGAAAGCTGCGGTAAATGTCTTGGTGCCTTTTTTTTGGAGGCAGAGGAGGGGCACGTCACTGACAGCTTCTGCAGGTGAGCACCTTAGAAATGGAATTGCAAGGTCAAAGGATCCTTTGGAGATCTCTCCTCCTTAGGAGAGAGCCAGTAGCATCTACTCCATAGGGTGACGGTAATAGCTAATAGCTGTTCTCTGGTCAGTCAGTGCTCCCAACTGCCCTCTGAAATAGGCACACTCATCCATCCCATTTACCCCTTGAGAAAACTGAGGCACTGAAAGGTTAATATTGAGTACTCTCTCAATATTGTAATGGTTCAGGGAGACTGTGGGCATATCACTGAGTACACTGTCTGGCTACTTTATGACAAACGTTTTTACTTAAGGTTCATTAGGCTCTAGAGCCAAAGTGCCTTACTGAACACATGGTGCTGAGTTCAGCCTCCACAGGCAACGTGGAATGGCCTAAAAACAAAACTTCTAATGCCATATTTGCATCTTTTAATAAATAACACTGGGCTTGTAACCTATCAACTTTGTGCACATAAGTTTATTTAGAAATACAGTCGATTCTCTTTATTCGTGGTAGTTCTGTTTCATAAAGTCACTGTGGATATGGAATTAGTGAATACTGAATGTTGCTTCTGGGAGATGCACGGTTAGGTTTCCTGCAAGCTTCTGGTCATACATTTTGGCAAGAAATCAATAAACAGCCTTGCTGTGTGTGTGTGTTTCTATTTAAAGACCCCTGATTTAACATACACTGTTGACTCGTGAACTGTGGATTCACGGCTGACAAGCACTGTGACTTAGGCCTAAATGAAGCTAATGGACGACACACATTTTCTCTGGAAGGCACGTCCCAACCTTCTTGCACTTGGGAACACTAGACAGCACTTTAGCACTACGTTCAGGGCCATTGTAGACAATGAAATAGCCAAAAGACACCCACAAAAAACAAACACAAAAATGTGAAAAGCGTGGCACTGGAAAGACCAGGAGTAGGAGAGAGGCAACAGGAAGGCAGAGCGCGGCCTTGTTCGGCCTCAGCCAGGGAGGTGTGCACCTGACAATAATTTGATTTTTCCCCATTCTGCTGCACGTGCTTTCCAGGGACCACGAATGGGCTGTGAGTATTGATTTGGGGACTACAGATACATTTTAGCAAGTATGTAGATTGCAGCTATGGAGTCTGCAAATAAGGAGAATCAACTGTCTCCTGTTTTGATCAGTCCAGCTAATTGTATTTCTTTTTTTTTTTCTTTTGACAGATAATTCAAGGGTCCATTTTATGATTATACCAGCAGTATTCTTGGTGGTGATACTGGTAGTGGGTTTTTTGCTGTATGGCAAGGGTATGTATACCTTCTCTTTAAAAAAATGAGTTTTGGGGCACCTGGGTGTGTCAATCCATTAAGCATCTTGATTTCGGCTCAGGTCTTAATCTCACTGTTTGCGAGATCGAGCCCGTGTTGGGCTCTGTGCTGATAGTCTGGAGCCTGCTTGGATGCTTGGAATTCTCTCTCTCTCTCTCTCTCTCTCTGCCCCTTCCCCATTTTCTCTATGCCTCTCTCTTTCTCTGTCTCTCAAAACTAACTAAATAAATAACAAAATAAATAAGTAAGCGTTAAAAAATAAGTTTTCAAGTTTGAATTGGTTTTTCACAGGCCAGAAAATTAACAGTTTGGAAATTAAAACAAAGTTTGAAACTGTATGCATTTTGAAAGAAACAAAGCTTTTTGTTTTCTTTTGTTTTACTTGCTGCCTAAGGGTGTGCCAGGTTTCCCAAGGTTTGGCATTACCTTAAGGTGAAATGAATCCTTAGGCCATCGAGAGCTTTACAGAAGTGGGAAGCCAGCCAAATATTCCACATGGTCTGTTTCAACATATGTTCTACTTCTGGTCTCCCAGCTGGCTTTCGTAAAAGGCCCCTTGCCCTTGGCTGCCAGGGCTGCCATTTCCATGTCTTCTAGCCCAGAAGGAGGTTCCAGGTAGGAGGAAGCTGTTGTTGAGTGTGGGTGACTTGGAGTGGGTGATCACATCTTGTATTGCCTGCGTTCCCCTCCTGAGCCTTCCTGAGCCCTTTAGAGATTGTGGGCCAGCCTAGCAGGCCGTCTGTATGCCCCAGAGAACCGGTGACCTGTGCACATCCGGTTCTTTCCCGGTGACGAAAAGCCCGTCCCCAAGCCCCAGAGGACACTAACCAGGCTGTAAATGTGAAGAGGAGATGTTCTTGAAGCCCCGACACCTTCCATATCTGCTTTTGCCAGAAGGCTGTTTGCAAGACCGATTTGCCACTCCCCCAGGGAATACTGAGGAGCAAGCTTTCAGCCAGGTGATGGCACATAGGACTCGCGTCATTTCACGTTCATGTCAGGGACCAAGTTTGCCAACTTAGGTGTCGGGTTCCCTAGACTTGCTCTGTTGAGTATGGTAGACATTAGCCACATGTAGTGGCTTAAATATCAAATTTCATTAATTACATTTAATTTAAAATTCCTTTCTTAATTTGCACTATCCACCTGTTAAGTGCTTGGTATCTACATGGAGCTGGCGGCTACCGTAATCGGGCCAGATAGAGGATGCCGTCATTACAGGAAGTTCCATAAGTCAGTGCTGACCTTCAGTACCGTTGGCGTGTTGCCTCCAGAATATGATTTCCCAGGGGTACCGTTTCCATGTTATAGGTAGCAAATACCATGAAGACCCCAAGGCAATAGATTACTAGTCAGTTGATTCTCCTCTAAATAAGAGATAAAAATTAGGTCAAGAAAGTTTTGAGTCTTTGTTACCAGTGAGTAAAATACTTGGGGAGCTCAAATGTGCTCTTAAGAAAGTTATTTTTGGGGGCGCCTGGGTAGCTCAGTTAGCTGAGCGTCCGATTTTGGCTCAGGTCATGATCTCACGGGTCTGTGAGTTCGAGCCCTGTGTTGGGCTCTGTGCTGACAGCTCAGAGCCTGGAGCCTGCTTTGGATTCTGTCTCCCTCTCTCTGCCCCTCCATTGCTCTCTCTTGCTCGCTCTCTCTCTCTCAAACTAAATAAACATTAAAAAAAAGAAAAGAAAGTTATTTCCAATCTCCAATAGCAGCACTGTTATTCATGATCTCCTTGACAGATTGGCCCCCAGAAACTAAAGTCAGTTTCCACTCAGAGTTGTTGCAGCTCAGTTACCAGAACACCTGAACCAAAGAATGATGGCACTAAGTGTCCATATCATTCCAAAATGGTTGGTTGATTTAACTTAAAAAAAAAAATCCATTCCATGGAGAGGAAATTACTCCTGTGATCAGTGCCGACAGCACTCGATAACCCAAAAAGAAATTGTCTTGAAGAAAGACCTCAGCTGGCTTCACAGCCCTAAAGCCATACATGGGCAAAGGGTGGGGCATTGGCCTAGAACCTTCTGAGGGGCCCATTGAACGGAAGCAGTAGTGGGTCACAGCTGACCAACACTACGGCCATCGGCGTGACTCCAGATGAGGGCTAATGCCTTTTACCGAAGGAGGGGGCCTTTTATGGAAGCCATGCGTGTGTGTGTGGAAGCCATAACTTAACGTCCCAAACCGTGCCATCCAAAATGGTGGCCATGAGCCACATGTGGCTGTTGAACCCTTGAAATGTGGGAATCCAAACTGAGACGTGCTGTAAATACAAACTACACGCTGGGTCTATAAGACTTGGGATTGAAAAGAGGATGTGAAGTATCTCATTAGTAATGTTTGTACTGACTACATGTGAGAGTGATAATATCTCTTTTATATTGGGCTCCTCAATCAAATACACTCTGAGCAGTAGTTTCACCCAGTTCTTTTGACTTTGAACTGCGGCTCCTAAAATTTTCAAATTACCCTTGTGGCTCCCCTATCCCTGGGTGGTGTCGGCCCCTCATCTGTAGTCTCATGCAAGAGCCGCTGTAGAGATCCTTATTCGTTAACAGTTTGGGGGTTTGTTTTTCTATCACCTGATGGCCAGTTGGGGAACGGCCCTCTGGAGTACCTCTGTGGTTAGTTTGATTGAAGCATGTAGGAGAGCAGCCTGACAAGGTTTAGAGTTTTCCAGATTCGGGTCTTGATCAGGCGGCCAGTACCTCCGGATTTCAGCTTTTCTTTTCAGCCCTGTAACTAAGATGGAAATGTCTTCATTTGTAGATCATCTGAAATGTTGTGGAGAAAGAGCCAGAACCGAGTAAGTACCCTGTAGACTGTGTGGGGCTGGGAGGAGGGGCGTGAATTGTAGGTCGTGTCCCAGAACTGAACAGCCCTGGTGCAGAGTGCCTGCTACATGGGAACCACGTGCTGTGTACCTGACATTCGCCTCGAGTGCACACATCCACAGAGGCATTAACTACGGGTCCTTAAGCACCTCCGTGCATGTGAGGAGGTATCGTCACCACCTGCTTAGGGACAGCAACAGTGAGAAGGCGGGTCCTGTTGCCAAGTGGCCAAGCTGGGATTGACTCCACGGGGTAAACCGTTAGCCTCCCGCTCCCGTCCCCAGAGAATAGGACCGAGCATTGGGTTTACTTACGGAGCCAGGGTCAGAGCTGGGCCTGCATCAATGAGCAAAAGATGGGATCCGGATGTAGTTGACAGCAGCGATGTTGCCTGAGTCGCCCGAAGGAGGTTCCAGAAGGGCCCCTGTCCCCCGCCAGATCCTTGGCGGTCAGGAAGAGGGGCCCAGGAGCTGGACTTCAGAGGGCAATGGGGAGAGGCAAGGATAAGGGCTGTGAAGGGCGGGAGAGAGAGTGACAGGTCATCTTCTCTGGGGCGGCGAATGTCAGTGGAGAGAGGAAGATGGGGCTGGACCGGCATTTGGGCCAAGCGAGGGTATTAAGAGTGGCCAAGAGGTCTGTAACGTCTCCTTCTGGGAGGCCACGGAGGATTTCTGAGCAGAGCTACACTGCAGGCACAGCCCTCCTCTGGCACAGCCTAGGCGTTCATAGACCAGCGGGAGGGCACGGGGCCGCTGGTTAGCCAGTAGATGACACAGTCCGGCCGAGCGGAGAGGGCCCGAATCAAGGTGGTCGCGGTGGAGATGCGTGTGGAGGGCCAGGGATGGAAGGAGGTGGGGAGGTCACACTCATGAACGTTTCCCTTGCTTGCAGGCTCCCGGGGGTCCTCTGCCCACCCACCCCCCCGTCACGGGCCTCAGACCAGTCACTTCCACTGTCTCTGCCTCAGTCGTCTCATGTGGGAAATGGGCATAACGAAGGTGGAGAAATCAGAGTAAGAGTGTAGGTACTAATAGCACAGAAATAACAATCTGGGTAACCAAGGTAATGAAAATAATAAAATGCTTAGGACAAGTGACTGGCCCAGAATGGTAGTTAATAAGTGTTATCGTGTCATCATGGTTATGAATTTTATTGTTGTTTGAGAAAGAAGCCAGAAGTGACAGAAATGCTGACGCCCTGTGCCCAGAAGCCGGCGGCACTGCCAGGCGTAGCAGAGGAATCAGACAGGGCTTTTGTTGGGGAAAGTGAGTCTGTGCCATGGCTGGCTGTGTTTGGGGTGTGGGCACAGCACTTGGGTGGTGAGGCCTGGCACTACCAGCAGAAGTAGCTTCAGGGGCTGGGGCTGGGGCTACACATTGGAGCTCGTCTTCATCAGGGCAGGAACTGATGCCCTGACGCCTGAGGTCCTTGAGAAAGAAAAGCTCAAGGCCTGTGGGTGGCGGGTAGAGGTAGAGGAGCGGGGGTGGGGTGGGGGGGAAAGACGAGTCTGAGGGGAGAGCCAGGGTGAGCCCTGCCAGAGATCCTTGGCAGGCGGGCTGAGTATTAAAGGTGAGGAGAGGCTCAGAGGCAGGACAGGCGGCCAGGACTTTTGGTTTGGTTAAGTGAGTTTACGATTTTCAAGAAAGCCACTGGGTCAGCGGTTGGCGTGGGAATGGGGCGGGACCACTGTGCAGCAGTGGGTACCTGTGTGCGGGAGGGCCCTTGGGCCCTGAAGCTGGCTTCCACCCCAGCTGTGGGGCAGGACATGCCCAGCCCACCAGGGAAGCCGGCTGTGGCAGGAGGCCGGCTCTGTGAGCTGCAGGTGCAGGCTGGGCAGGGGCAGCGCGGCTGTGAGGGGTTGATGGGCCAGGAGGCTGTGCGGAGAGGGCTGCAGGGGGTTGGGGGGGACAATGGACGGGGTGAGGAGCAGGCATGCCAGTGGGGACCCCGGGGGGAGCCAGAGGACCGGGGTTACGGTGTGAGATGGGGATCTCAGATCTGATCCGCAGCGGTAAGCAGGAGTGCCAGGGGAGGGCGACGCTCCGGGTGGGGCCCCTGCTGGGACCCTGCTGCTAATGGCGGAGGTGTGGCCCAGGGAACGGGTACTGTGAATGTGGTTCAGGGGCGGCCTGTCTGTGTCCATCACACATCCATACTGTGATGGAGTATCCCAGGCCTCAGCCTTCACCTGCCCCTTTCCTCATTGAGTGAATTTTCCCAAGATCCCTTGAGCAAGGTCGGGCACTATGTTAGCTGGTGGCTCGAGGCCATGCGTCCAGGGAGGCTAGACATTGCGTGGGATTCAGAGAAACTATATGTTAGGGCCCCCATGGCTGAGAAGCTTGCGGGTGCCCCGGAGAGAATGAACAAGGATATAAGCAGAAGGGCGTAGGCACGGGGTGGTGGAGGCCAGGATGGGTGATGTGGATGGCCAGGGCTGGGCAGTCAGCCAAGGGGAGGTGAAGAAGCCAGAACAATAGTGAAGACTGTGAGGGGAGTAGTTGCATGCAAGCTAGACCTTGAAAGCTGGAGGGGAGTAGAAAAGGTGTTCCAGCCCGGAGGACTGGCAGAGGCAAAGACATGGAAGGGAGCTCAACCCTGGGGGTTTATTTGATGGAGAGGCTGGCCTGTGTGGCATCAAGCTGAAGAAGTGGCAAAGGAGGGAAGTCAGGGACATTACGATGGCGTGATATGGGAAGAGGGAGCCATTGCAGGTGCTTGAGCAGGAGAGTTTTGAAAAGCACAAAGAGCAGCACTTTGGAATAATGAGACTAGGAAGGTCAGACTGACCTCTGCGGGTGACATCCTGGGTTGAAATCTGGGTCGCACAGGGGCCGGGTGTGGGAGCTCAGACCTCTTGGCGTATTTTTGCTTACTCTCCAAATTTTATACTTTGTGTGTTTCCTACCTGCTTAATAATAATTTTAAATTCAAAGAGCCCACTGTGGCTGCAAGGGAGAGGGGGTCCCTAAACTCAGCAGAGTTATATATATGATGGAGGGGCAGGGATTGAAAGGGGGGTGGGGGAGGGGACAAGCATAACCAGGACCAAGGGTCAAATTCTCACATCTTGGTGAGGATGGCATCAGAAGGAGTCAGTCCCAGTCAGAAAATATCCAAGAACAGCCAAGTAGGTTTCAGATCTTCGAAGGGAAATGGACATATTACGCTTCTCACCCAGGCCGTTCAGTGTAACAATTTCTGGGAGCGCTGGTAGTCTCCATTTTGAGGTAAATGCCTGGAAAACAGATCACAGAGTCAAGTTAACAAGGGAGCAGAGAGCCCGTTTCTCTGGGAAGAAAGATTTGCAGGCAATATCTCTCTCAGCCTGAAGGTGAGCTTGGGAGGCAGGCCTGATTCTAGGCCAACAGGTACAACAGGTGTGGGCGTGGGTGACGGGCGCCCCTCCCCCCCAGGGGGAGGCCGGGGAGCAGCAGGGCCCCCCACCCCAAGCCCTAAGCGGTGCAGCTCTGAGGAACCTGTACCTGCTGGGACGAGCTTGAGAAGCGCCTCCCACTCCAGCCCCCCTCAGAAACTCACAACACCTGTTTTTCACATCCTAGTAGATTCTTAGTACGGAAAATGCCTGCTTTGCTGCCCTTTCCCTACTCCCTGTGACCACAGAACTTTTTTTTTTTCCTGATCCTTTGTTACCAGTGGAGTACAGATATTTTGGAAACTCTGATCTGGTCTGGCCTTTTGAGGTTCGGACTGAGGCTGGCAGAAGGCAAGAACCGGTCTCTGCCCAAGGAGGCTGTAGCTCTCTGTTTGGGCTCATTTCCTCTGAGCTAACCCAGGACGATTCTGTCATCGCTACAGAGATGACTAAACAGGAAGAGAAGCTGAGGAGGGAAGAAAAACCATCCTCAGGGGGCTCACATAAATACCTGCTAGAAGGAGTGACAGTTTATTAAGGGTTCTTCAGGTCTCAGCTTTCTTACGGGAAATTTCAATTTCAATTCAGTTTCAAAGGCCGGGTTGGTTTGAGGAGAGGGAACTGGTAACGAGTGCTCTGTACTGAAGGCAGTACTTCAGGCGGACCTCGGACTCCCATCCCAGGAGGGTTCAAGACCAGCTTCCCTCCATCTCTGCTCCCTAGAGCCCTTGGTTTTGATGGGTTTATTATAAAAGGGCTATTCACATCAGAATAGGAAGGTAACTAAGACCCTTGGTCTGTATTTTACAGCTTACTAACATGAAATTCTTTCTTTTTATATAGCCCCAGTTGACCTACAAGATGAACTCAAATGTACAGTAACTTATTTAAGTAACAAAAAACCACCTGATTGTCAACCAAGTATGACATGATCTTCAAGGACATCCTGGAATTCCAACCTTAAGTGATCCTTCAGCAGAAGGTTTTTTTGGGGGAACATTTGGGGGGGCTCAGTCAATTGAACTTCTGACTCTTGATTTTGGCTGGAGCATGATGCCAGCGTTGTGGGATTGAGCCCCGTGTTGGGCTCCATACTGAAAGTGGAACCTGCTTGGGAGTCTCTCTCTCCCTCTGTCCCTCCCCTTCTGGTACCACTCTGTGCCTTCTCTCTCTCCCCAAAATTTAAAAAAAAGGGAAAAAGGGGTTTATTTTTGAAGAAATGTCAACAACCAGCATTAGTAGTTGTTCTGATAATGCTGCTGTATATAATGACATTATCTTTAAGAGTTTTATAAATTTTATGACAAGTATGTACATATGTAAATAAATACCGGAGCCATAAGTGGTTTGGTTTTTGGTGTCCTTCCCCCCCCCCCCGCCTTAAGTTAGAAAAATTAATAATCAGTTACCTCAGGAGGTGAAGGCTTTTCACTAAAATCTATCCTCTGCTTCTCTTTTGTTTTTAGAGGGAGAAGAATTCACTGCAGGGTCGGGAGTGGAGGGAGGGAGGGAGGGAGGGAAGGAAGGAGGGAGGGAGCAGAGGGCACAGTACTGACTGCATGCTGAGTCCGTGGCTTTTAATGGGAGGCGAGAATACACGGGTCTTAGGCTGCTCTGGAAGTCCCGATCACCGCCATCCACACAGGGAGACCTGTCTCACGAAGGTGTCCTAACCCTCCTGGTACCCGGTGCTGGCCGTTGCTTTGGCAGGGAAATGGCAGAGAGCTCTTACAAACTGTAGAGTCCTGTGCAAGTACAGAAGAGCGGTGTCTCCTGAATCCGGAAGTGGCCGGCCCGTGTGGATCAATGCCCTAAGCCCTTAGCTCCTGAGCCCACACTCGCCCTTGGCACTCCAGTCACATGAGAGTCTTCAGCCTGAAAGAGGAAGTAAGGCCTCTACACCCAGGCTAAGTGTGTGAAAGGCGCCCCATGAATCAGCTCTACCCAGACCCCCACCACAACTGTCAGCAAGAAGGAGGCAGCAAAGCTCTGGGCAGCAAGGCTTCCTATCAAGGTGTGTGTCTGGTTCATCTTGTCAGACACTTTATTCCGGGCCTCGTGGGGAGGGGGGCCTGGGACTCTCCCAGAACATTCTTCATCTGGAACCTTCCTCTCCATGTGCCCTGTTCAGCCCTTTCAGATTGTCCATCGAACAGCTATGCGTTCCGTGCTATGAATGTTCCCGTCGCCTTCCTGTTCCCACGGAAACACGACTCTCCCGAGGATGCTGCTCTCGGGGCCCTCAAGGGCCAGCTGGGAACGGGCGAGGGCAAGGCGCTTGGGGCGGACCACGCCAGGGCGGTGGATTTGGGGGCCGTGAAAGCTGCCCGATTCTGCGGGCATCCCCCTCCCCCCGTCGTCAGCCTTTACCTCTCTGCTCCACCCCCCCCACCCCCACCCCCCAACACGGTGTCGTCTCTCACGTCCTCAAAAACCCAAGACCCTCTGGATCCACTTCCTCGCCGAGCTCCTGACTCATTTTCCCTTTCTCTTCTCGGGAAGGGTTTCTCCAAAGAAACGGTCTGGGCTTCCTTTCTCTGACTTCGCCCTTCCTGATCTTTCCGGCACCCACTTCAATCAGGCTGTCCCCCTCCGCTTGTCAAGCTCCCCGGCGGCGTCCGGTCGGTCGCGGCTTTGCCCGCTGGTCCCGGACGGCCTGGGAGCCGCGTGTGACTGCAGAGGTGTCGCAGCGCGGCAGACCCATGAGCCCTTACGGTGAGTGCACCAAGTCCTCAGATGGAAGAGCTAGGGGGGTATAACCAAATGGCCCAGTGTAGACGCCCGGGGAGATAAAACCCTGCGCACGCAAACCCTGCCCGCCCATGCCCATAGGCCGTCCCTCACTGCAGCCCAGTAGCGGAAACCACTCAAATGTCCGTCGGCCGACGGGCAGGTAAGGGCGGCACATCCCTACCGTGGGGTAGTAGTCAGTATAAAAAGCAAGGAGGCGGGGCGCCCGGCCGGCTCAGTCAGTTAAGGGTCTCGCTCTCGATTTCAGCTCAGGTCATGCTTGACCTCACGGTTCATGAGATCGAGCCCCGAGTTGGGCTCCGGATAGAGCCTCCTTGGGATTCTCTCTCCGACTCTCTCTGCCTCTCCCCTGCTTGTGCTGTCTTTCTCTCACACAAATACAATAAAACTTAAAAAAAAAAAAAAAAGGAATGAGGGGGGCGTCTGGGTGGCTCAGTCGCTTAAGCCTCTGACTTCAGCTCAGGTTATGATCTCCCGGTTAGTGGGTTTCAGCCCGGCGTCGGGCTCTGTGCTGACAGCTGGGAGCCTGGAGCCTGTTTCAGAGTCTGTGTCTCCCTCTCTCTCTGACCCTCCCCAGCTCGTGCTCTGTCTCTCTCTGTCTCAAAAATAAATAAACATTAAAAAAAAGATAATCCATTAAAAAAAAAAAAGGAATGAGAGTCTGCTTCGTATTACTACGTGAGTGAGCCTTGAAAACATGCTCAGTGAAGGAAGCCAATCCAAAAAGACCACATACTATATAATTTCATGCATACAAAATGTCCAGAAAAGGCAAAAGTATAGAGCTAAAAAGTAGACTATGAGTTGCCTAGGGCTGGGAGGAGGGTGTTGGGTCAGGGGAAGAGAGTGACTGCTAATGAGAACAAGGGTTTTTATTTTTTTATTTTTTTTATTTTTGGAGAGATGAAAAGCTTCTAAAATTGTAGTCGTTGTATAACTGTGAATAGAGTAAAACCATCAAATGATACCCTTTAAAAAAAAAAAAACAACGTTTATTTTTGCGAGACAGGAAGCAGAGGAGGGGCAGAGAGAGATGGAGACACAGAATCCAAAGACGGGCTCCAGGCTCTGAGCTGTCAGCACACAGCCCAATGCGGGGCTCGAACTCACAAACCATGAGATCATGACCTGAGCCGGAGTCGGACGCTTAACCGACTGAGCCACCCGGGTGCCCCTCAAATGATACACTTTAAACAAGTGGCTTGTATTGTGTGTGAATTATGTCCTAATAAAACTATTATAACTGAAAGAACTAAGCAGTTACAGGAGGGGCCGGCCCTGGGAAGCTGGGGTCTCCCTCCCTAAAGCCTGCCTTCCCTGCCGGCTGCCTCAGCCCTGGAGGCTCCACAGCCGATGATACCCCTTCCCTCAGGACTCCCACTTCATTCCCCTCCCCACTCTACCCGGGGCTGGGAGTCACCAGGGGATGAAGTGACTTTCTATTTGGAAGTCAGAGCAATGAACAATAGCCCGGCATCAGACACTAGCCAGTGAGTCTACACAGGCGTCACGAACCAGTGTTCACCTTGGGATCTTGAGACGGTCGTCCCCACTGGGTCCCTCCTGCCTGCCACCCTTAGCCGTGCTCCCCGCCCAGCACACGTCCCTCCATCATCTGTGTGCCCTCATTCCTATCCCCTGCCCTGCCCTTCCTTCCGGGGTGCCCTCCTGCATAGCCAGTGGGAGGGACCTCCCTTCCACAGTCAATGACGGACCCTCCACCATCCGCCCTCGGTGCTCAGTCTCATCTCTGTGTTTTATTTTTTTAAATTATATATATATATATATATTTTCTTAAATAGTTTATTGTCTAGTTGGTTTCCATATAACACCCAGTGCTCATCCCCACAAGTGCCCTCCTCCATGTCCATCACCCACCGTTCCTCTCCCTCCCCACTCCCATCAGTCCTCAGTTTGTTCTTAGTATCCAAGAGTCTCTCTTGATTTGCCTCACTCCCTCTCCCCAACTATTTTTCCCCTTCTTCTTCCCCATGGTCCTCCATTAAGTTCCTCCTAATCCACCTATACGTGCAAACATAAGGTATCAGCCCTTCTCTGCCTGACTTATTTCACTCAGCATAACACCCTCAAGTTCCATCCACGTTGCTACACATGGCCAGATTTCATTCTTTCTCATTGCCATGTAGTATTCCATTGTGTAGATAAACCACATCTTCTTGATCCATTTGTCCGTTGATGGACACTTAGGCTCTTTCCATGATTTGGCTACTGTTGAGAGTGCTGCTATGAACATTAGGGTACATGGACCCCTATGTATCAGCACTCCTGTGTCCCTTGGGTAAATTCTTAGCAGTGCTATTGCTGGGTCATAGGGGAGTTCTATTGTTAATTTTTTGAGGAATCTCCATATTGTTTTCCAGAGGGGCTGCACCAGTTTACATTCCCACCAACAGTGTAGGAGGGTGCCCGTGTCTCCACATCCTCGCCAGCATCTAGAGTCTCCTGATTTGTTCATTTTAGCTACTCTGACCGGCGCGAGGTGGTATTTCAGTGTGGTTTTGATTTGTATTTCCCTGATGAGGAGGGACGCTGAGCATCGTTTCATGTGTCTGTTGGCCATCTGGATGTCCTCTTTGGAGAAGTGTCTATTCATGTCTTCTGCCCATTTCTTCACTGGATTATTTGTTTTTTGGGTGTGGAGTTTGATGAGTTCCTTATAGATATTGGGTACTAGCCTTTTATCTGATATGTCACTTGCAACTATCTTTTCCCATTCCGGTGGTTGCCTGTAAGTTTTATGCATTGTTTCTTTTGCTGTGCAGAAGCTCTTTATCTTGATGAGGTCCCAGTAGTTCATTTTTGCTCTTGATTCCCTTGTCTTTGGGGATGTGTCAAGTAAGAAATTGCTGCAGTTGAGGTCAAGGAGGTTGTTTCCTGCTTTTTCTTCTGGAGTTTCAATGGTTTCCTGTCTCACATTCAGGTCCTTTATCCATTTTGAGTTTATTTTTGTGTATGGTGTGAGAAAGTGATCTAGTTTCTTTCTCCTGCATGTTGCTGTCCAGTTCTCCCAGCACCATCTGTTAAAGAGGCTGTCTTTTTTCCATTGGATACTCTTTCCTGCTTTGTCAAAGATTAGCTGGCCATACATTTGTAGGTCTGATCCTGAGTTCTCTATTCTATTCCATTGGTCTATGTGTCTGTTTTTGTGCCAATACCATACTGTCTTGATGATGACAGATTTGTAGTAGAGGCTAAAGTCTGGGATTGTGTTGCCTCCCATTTTGGTTTTCTTCTTAAGTATTACTTTGGCTATTCGGGGTCTTTTGTGGTTCCATACAA